TTATGAAGTCCCATTCTCCATTCTCTTTTTCAGTTGATGAGGCGGCATCCTGCTTTAATAAGAGGATCGACACCATGCAATGTGGTAAGCTTATTAGCGCTCATCTCCTCTAATATATCTGAATTTCCATTATTTTATTTCCTCAGGATATATCTTTTCCCATATTCCCTTCATATCTTACTTCTCCCCTTTATCGTTTCCTTTGGTTTCATCAGGAATACTTTCTCTGTAACTGATAGCATATCCATTTCTAATAGTACTAGATGAATCATCACAACATAGTTGTTTTTTTTGTCCTGCATTCAACTCCTGCCCTTCAAAAATCTTTTCAGATGGTATATCTTAAAGTGTGTTTCAAACTGGAACTTCAAGATGCATCTGAAAAAAAATTCCTTGGGCAAGTAAGTTTAGGAAACACTGCATGCTATATATTCTATTCTCAAATTCACAATGTACATGGGATATTAAAGGTGCTGAAGGCCTAATCTTTGTCCAGCCTTATTGGATTACAGACTCCCCCATTCTCCTTTTAAATGGAATACGTATTAACCTCAGAATATGCTTAGGGAAAAGATGCTTTAAAGGATTTCCCCTAGTTCCAAACTCTTAAGCCTGGGCTCAGAAATTCACTGAATCCCTATCAAATGGTCCTCTCAGATTTCCTTTCCATTGATGCTCCACATGGTCTAAACTAGTTAACTTATAGGATGTCAGAAAGACTAAGCACGTTTGTATCTCTGAGCTACTGTATACACCAGTTTGGCTGCTTGGAATACATTTATCAGCTTTTAAAAAATTATGTAGAACTTTCTTCTCCTTCCAGGTCTGTATATAAAAATGTATCCTTTACGAATTTTTTCCTTGCAAAGACTGCCTCAGCCCATAGTGTTTTCTGCCACTTTTTTAGTACTTCAATAAATGGTTATGGTTTAATGCCTCTTTGCTATATTATTAGTGAGAGTGCAACTCCTCCTGGGCAGGAGCCTTGTTTTATACACTACAGAGACCCCAGCATATAGCGTAGCCTTTTGAGTATAAAAGGATGTTATAACCATGTTATTGGTTAACACAAACAGAAATGGATACCATTAAGGCATGATGGTTTAAAATCCAATTTCTGTAGCTATCGGGATAGTTTGAGATGTTAACAGTCCAGGTGGAATGTTCCATCACAATGTTAGGAAGAAATGTCACCTGCCATTACTTCCATTGCCCTGCAAATCATATCATTTGTGTCTAAGAATCTGGATAAAAGCCAGATATAGAAGAGAAAGCTAGCTCTGTTCTTAGGTGAAAGTAAGAATTTGCATTAGTCAACACCAAATGGGCATAAGGTTAAAATAATCTAGGAACATCAAGTGATCCATGGAAGGAATCACTGGAACATACCAATGATAAAATTACCATTCATAATCATTAAATTATGGTAACATGATGGAAAGGAAAAGGCTATTTTCCTACAAAAGGAAGTCAGGGTAAGTCTTGTCTGAGGATCCACTGTGTACTATTGTGCCTGGTATACAGAATGTGTAGCAACTATTTACAGAATCTGCTACTGCCTTCTAGTCACATTCCAAATTCCATCTCTTTGAATCAGTCTGGAGACACGTTACATTGGTGAATTCAAGGCAGCTTGGCAACGACTGGCACAACATAAAACCCCAAACAATGAATTCCATCTTTCCCATAAAGCCCTTTTATTGACACAACACACAACAGCACAAAGCAGGTTGTCTCAGGCTATATAATAACTAGATGTTAAGGGGCACTGAGTTTTTCAGATTAGATGTTAATCTGAAGTTGGGCTTTAGCAAGTTCCCTAATAGTGAATTTTTATTGGGCCTAGGACTAGAAACTTGGTCTCTTGATGTTTAGTCAGGGAGTTTTATTATGTAGAGAAAAAAGTATACGTTTCTTCCTTAAACCTGCAGGAACAAATGACTTTCATGTTTTAGCAGAAGAGAAAATGCATTTTATTACAGTATAATCTGTGGAGTATTTTGCTACTCTCCTGACTATAAAACAGTATACAAACAAAAAATTTAATAAACTCTATTTTATAAATGAGAATGTTTACTTATATTTACCTTAAAATAGGTATAGATTGTATTATGTAACATGAAATAGAAGGATAATGGTAAAATTTCATAAATAGAAAATTCTGTCAGTCTTTAGTTAAAATTCATAACAGTGTATCAGTGTTGATTATTAGTAGTAATCAATAATAAGTATTTTTTAAATTGGAATTTTTATTGCAGGAGATTATTAGGTGGGTAAAGCTAAATGGCCTAGATGTTTTCCTGTCATGGAAATACTTAAGAATTGTCTTTCTGGGAAATTTATACATTTCAGAGTGAAAATGAATGGTGGCCTGCCTATTGGGTGTGTAACAGGCCGCTGGGTCAAGACTGCTGTTTTCTGAGAGCTATGGGCAGTTTCTGCAGTAAAGTATCTGAGTTTCTTCTTTTCATAGTAAAAATAGATAGTTTTATGTTCTGGGTGAAGTCTGAGTTCTCTTGCTGGATTTCACTCTTGGTGGGGGCAGGGAGATACTGTCGGCATTGCTTTATGTCGACTTAGACATGTTAAAGATTATGTGGTACTTTCACGAACACTCTCTAAAAATGAGTTCTCCCTATCATGAGTTGCATAGATGAGAAGATTGAGGTGGATGGGGTGAAGAGGAAGGGAAAGGGAAGTTTAAGCTGGCTAGCTAATGAGTAGTAGAACTTAATCTAAAACCAAGGTTTTCAGCAGAAAATGCTTTTTTTCCACCAGAAAATGCCATGGTTTCCAACAAGCTTTGTAGCAAATCTGGGGCAGAGCACTGATGGAGAATCAGATCAGCCTTGTCTTCCTAGATCTGGTAAGCACTAACCATTTGACCATGGTCAAGTCACTAACTTTTGTGAGTTTTGTTGTTCTCACTTATAAAGTCATGAGCAAGGAATCAGTGAATGGCATAATACTTGTAAGCTGTAAAATCTCTCTCTTGTGAAATGGTATTGACAATAATGTATGCTTTGCCTATCTTATAAAGTTGTGAGGCCAAAATAAGCTGATCCATGTGGAAGTGCTTTGTATAGTGTGGAGTGTTGAATCAATGTCGTCTGGAAGACTTAGGAAAGGGTCCCGAATGTGTGTGGGAACTGACAGCCAGTCCACTTCCATTCAGGTTTTAGGAGAAGCTATAATAAAGCACTGGCAGCAGCTCAAATCCCACTCCATCCTCTCCTCTCCCAGCATGCTGCAGAGTATCACTTGAGGAAAGTTACTTGAGTGGGTGAGCCAAACGCTCAAGTTCCAGCCTTTCTGAGTAGAAGCCACAGAGCACTCTGAGCCACAGCATAGGAAACAATCACTGTTCCTCCAGGTATGTCTGAAACACTGGGGGACCCCTGGGAAAGAGGTCAGACGTCACTGCTCCTGCGGACCCGTTTTCTCCTGTATATAGCTCCAGCCCACATGACTTCACCTGGCAGCCCCAAGAGACAAAAAAGATCCAGAATTAGCAGGAGCCTCCTCTCCTGATAACCTAAGTGCTCTGATTGAAAGGCAGAGGGTATCAGGAGAATGGCTGTATCGAGTCGGCATTGATTTCTCCAGCCTTTGTCTGTGTCTGGTTTCTGTCTCGTTTGGAGGTGGTTACTGTTACTACAAGCAGCATGAATCATGTCTCTGTTAAAAAACAGAGCTTCAATTGTCTTACATAACCCCTGGTAACTGAACGTCTAATAATAGCAAGCCATTTCCAGGTAGGGAATCTGTCTACCTCCCAGACACACACACACACACACACACACACACACACACACACACACACACTCTCTCTCTCTCTCTCTCTCTCTCTCTCTCTCTCTCTCTCTCCTCCCATTGCTTCACAGCAGAGTGAGACAGACAGACAGGAGACAGGGAGAAAGGGGACAGCATAACTGAATTTTTTAGATTTTATAATATATTGAATAATCATGCATTATGGGATCTGATAACCAATATATTTAACTGAGCTAGTTTAATAAATGGTAGAAAACAATTCTTCTTCTTTAAACTATTTGAAACTGCAAAGTATTCCAAACCACACCAGATAGACACCTTCTCTAACACTCTTACACTGCATAAAAACCCCAAACCCCCAAAACAGAGTGGGGTGAAAATTTCACCGGATTGTCTGCTAGCTTGGAACAACTAGCTTCAATTTTCAAAGGATATTTTTTTCCCTCTCTTTTTTGTTTAACCAGAGAGTGATATTCCAAAGGTTCTTGGCTACAATCATTGCATAAAATTCCAGAGAGTGAAAAGCAACTGAAAACACGGCTGCAGTGTTGCACCATGCAGACTGTCTAACGTCAGGCACTGTTGCCCGAGCCACTTTCTTTGACAGAGATGACTTTGCATCTGAGGACTTACATTTTTTTCCCATGAGTATACTCTCTGGCTTGTAGTACATGATGAGGTCTTTTCATACTGGATCCTCACTCAGCTACCTGTTAAGGTGATTACCAAAATAAAAAAATGATAGGAGAGACTGAAAAATGACTTCTGAAAAATCACAAAGGTAGGTTTTTCTTTACCAATGTGGTTGAGAAAAACTATAAACCCTGGATGGTATTTTAAAAGTTTATGGGGAAAAACAATATAAATGTGTAACATATATATGTCCATTTCCTCACTGCTTCACCTTGCCCATCCGAGGAAAAATCACTTAAAGGCTGTATTTTTTGAGTGTGCATTCTCACAGTGAAGTAGCTGTATCTATCATGTAAATTGGACTGGGGAAGGACTTCACAGAAAATTACAGATGGTGATAACATCCTGCCATCCTGGTCTAGAACCAGAGAAGAAAAACTTTCTTTTCTGTTTTTTTGTTCATGAAACAGTGACTAGACTAGTTCAAACCAGAGAATATCTCATGCCACACCCACTTTGAGGACCAGCACCTGGCTATTCTACATGCTCTTCAATTGTTTAGGGATATAAAAAGGCGTGATGAGATAGTTAACATGTCAAAATGGCTGTGCTTCCTCCAAACAGGATTTGCTTGGCTTATTTGCTTTTGGAGTACTTTCCAAATCCATAAACAAAGGAGTATTGAATTGAAGAAGCAAACAGGAGAAAGAAAAAGACTGAAAAAGAAAAGAGAGAGGAAGAAGAAGGAAAAATACTGATTTCCCATTACTGTATTCCTATCTGCAAATCTGGCTGGATTTGATAACAAAACTCCTACTACTGCTCTCTAAGGGTCTTTGCTGCATGCCATATGGACATGGCTTCCAAAGGGAATGAATTCTAGGTTTTCCTCACAAATATCCAAATACATAACAGCAGGGATCTTGATGACTAAATCACCCTAACTCACAACAAGGAACACAGAGGTGGAACATGGCTGTCCGGATTAGACGCTCCTGCTTATTTTGTGTGCTTTGTGAATTAAATTGTTCTTAGACTTGGAAACTTGGTGGACTAAATGTTTTAATAAAACAGCCATGAGACACCACAGTTTTCTTCACAAAGGGTTTTCCTCTTAGCTACTGTGAATATACCGCTCAATGGTTCTGACTTCTGGAAGAGCAGGAGGTTTGCCTCTTGTCTTTGCCTCGAAAACCAGGCTTATTCTATGCATCTGTGAGATGATTATACTTACCTGAAATTTCAGGGTACTATGTCAGACAGTTCCTTCACAGTCGTGTGTCTGGCACCTAAGCAAGGACTTGGTAGGCCAGACACATTTAAAATGTAAGAGTGGATGATTATGTTATTTTGCATTGTAACAATGAGAGTATTTCTGGATTGTGGCTGCGATGTAGATCATCATAACGATATGTGGCACAACAAACCACACAACATTGCATCATAAGCTTGTAGTTAATATTTTCAAATGATCCAGAGATTCTTTTTTGAAGTAGAGACATGGTGAATGCTTTTTTTTGACCCCTTTAAATAACTACTTATTCAATGTCTATTGTCAGTGATGGACTTTTTCTTCAAAAGAAGGGAGCTGGTCTATGCCAGATTCTCACCATGTTTATCCTCTTCTAACACTGAACAAAATATCAGTAAAACACCAAGTACAGCTGTTTTTGAACGTAATAAGCAATCAGTCTGTAGTAATCGGCCATATTGGTGATAGTTGGAAGTGGTGATATGGACAGCAGTGGGAATAACTGATGTAGTAATCGGCCATATTGGTAATAGTTGGAAGTGGTGATATGGACGGCAGTGGGAATAACTGACTTACGAATGCACAGCAGTGAGGAACTTCTCAGGGACTCAGAGCAGGTCAATGAGTAAATCTGCCCTCACCTATGTATATGCTCCAACAAATATCTGAAACTCTAGAAACTTCAAGAGTCTAATACGATCACGCCACATTTATAGGTATTATAGCATTCCTATTATAAAAGGAGGCATACATGTTGATCTAGTGAACTTCTCTATATTTGTACAACACTCAGGATGTGTCAGAGAACACATTTTAATTTTTAGAATCAGTTATAGAATCTGGCTGTTATTATAAAGTAAACTTCACTTCAAAAAAATTGCGAAGCCAGCCGATAATCAAGATATACAAAGCAACATTGGTGGGATAAGTCAAAGAATTCTCTAAAATGATTATGGAGAAACTGAAGAAATTAAGGACACCTATGTATAATATGTGGGTGCCCAGCCACGTTTGTAATCTGTTGTGTGACCTTGGGCAAGTCATGAAACTTTTCCCAAGTCTCATTTTTCTCATCTATAATGTGGGCATGCTAGATTAGATGGTTTTTAAGTTCTTTCCAATAATAATATTTGATGATTCTAAAGTAAGAAGAGATGACAGAGTAATTCCTCTTTCTTCTTCTTGTGATAAATACTTGCTTTCTTCTGCTCCGTGTCTATGTAGTTTGCAGTATTAGATTTCTGGACTCAAGAAGTCAAAGAGTAAATACTGAAGCTATTTTTCCTTGTACACTTGGACAAATCATAGGGTAATAATCCTTCATTTCTTTGTATATCAATGTCTCTTCTCAAATCAGACTCATGCCTAAGGTAATTACGATCATTCTGGTACTAATAAAGATTTTTCTTCATGCTTCCCACAAGGCCCTCACCCATGCTCACACAAGCTTATGTGATTGGGTTATTTCTATATTTATGTCCTGGCTATTTTTTCTCTTCCAACTTGTTTATGAAGTCCCTGGTAAGCATAAAACTGCAAAAACAAAAACAAACAAATAAAATAAAACAGCTCTGTTTGAATAATTTACTTCAGCTGAAGCTGTATAAGAAAACATCCTAATGCCGAGGGGAAGAAAACAGGTTTTAAAAATACCCTGGTATCTTAGAAAAGACTAAATAAAATGTTGTATCAATGATAGTTTCATATGTTGTTGTTTTTCATTTCCAAAGAGAATGCTACATATTGGCTTTATAGTCTGGTGTACAGATGTGGCTATTTTTCCCCATAGCTCTCAGGTCAGCGCATCCTCAAAGCCAAGAAGGCCCAGAGCCTGCCGAGCTAGCTTTACATAAACAAAGGAGCTACACAGAAAACCCAATACCCGGAGCTTATATCATATCCTGACTAGGCACTCTGGTTACCCATGACTCGCTCTTTTCCATCTGTGCCCTGATTCTTTGCTGGTTTAATTCCCTTCACCTAGAATGCCCTCAGTTTGCCTCCCTTTACTGCTCAGAATTCCCTCTGGACACAACTAGCATCAGCCCTATTTTCAAGAAGCAACTTAGTCCGACCCAACTTAGTTTGACCCACTGATAATTTTCATGGATAGCAAGTGAAAATTCGTCCTTGTGATAACTGGAGTCACTGAGACCACGCATTTAGGAAGCACTCAGAGAATACCAGAGAAAAGACCATCAAGGGTTGCAGTGTCCTCACAGGAGGAAAAAAGAATTCTAGCTTTAAGAACAAGCCCAATATAGAAGCTGCGGCATGTAAGAGAAAAGTTGTAGCCAAGTACAGGAGAAATTGTGTTAAAACAGTCTGACTTTTTTTTTTTTTTTCCAATTTAAGAGATCCTCTGTTTCTTAAAAGAAGGAGTTTAGTCATTGAATATAGCAACATACAGTATCATAAAGTTTGATTGCATTAAATATGAAGCTAAAATGTCTAAATTTTAGTAGAGAGTACATGGGGCATAGCTAAATAGGCAAAGACATAGGATGTGTGTACAATCTGAGTTTCACTTCCTCCAAATCTCTCAGTTACAGGATCCCTCTCAGTCTGACGGTCCTATCATTGACAGCCTCACAAACTCTGACAACACCTGGCTGGGTTTAAGGGATGGATCATTATACATCTTGAGAGTAGAAGATGGAATGAAACTCAGAAATGCTGGATGCTTTTATATATGTATACAATTTTATTTACGTGTATATTTATATATCAATATATACAAACATATATATTTGTATGATGTTTGGCAACCTCACTCATGGTATTCCTGTGAAGTAGGCATGTGGTAAACATAATTAGCCCATTAAACAGATGGTAGGGCTCTGGCATATCTCACCATATTCTAAAATGGTGGAGCTGTAAGCAGGGACTAAAGAGAGTGCAGTTTGATACATGGCTAACTGCAAAGCTCTGTGAATTGCTACTTTCCTAAAGACAATCTGGGTAGGCTGCATTTGGCTGAGAACTGGGATAGTTTAGGAAGCTTTAAAAATATACAAAGGGACAACTTTTCACATTCATTCAGATATAGTATCTTCATTTTTACTTACTAGAGGCATTTAAAAAAAAAGAGCTTTTTATCTTAACTCATCTGTGTTCCAAGCAAACTTCCAAATTGCTGAGCAGATTAAAAAAAAAAAAAAAAAAAAAAAAAAAAAACTTACATGCCAAGTAGAAACACTGGGTAAATGTTATTTTTTAAAATTGTCTTAACAAAGTGCACTCTTGGAAAGGATAAAGTTGAAAAGACGTTTGGTACTGTAAACATATAGCTGTCATTGTAGCACAGTGACCAAATACATCCAAAAGCACATGAAATAAACTTTTATCAGACTGAATTATATGACCATGGCATTGCCACTCTATAGTACAGCGGGCTTCAGAGATCCTGTTATTAAATATTAGAGCCTATTTCTTTATCATTTGAAACAAGATCTAGCAGAAGCGAAAGGGTTACTAAAATTAAGGCTTGAATTTACAAGTGTATTTGAACTGGCTTTAGGAAGACATGAAACATCAATACATCTGGAGAATAGAGCTTGCAATTGACTGTTCTTTACCATCTGGTCTCAAGAACATTTTCTGCTTGGAAGTTGCATAAGCAATGAAAAAACACACAAACAACTTCCTGTACCATGTTTTTGGTCACTCATAATGATGCATTACAAAGTAAACCAGCTAAATATGAGCAACTGTGCCTTACTCCAGATGAAAACATACATTATATAACGAAGATCAATGAAAAAGAATATCTTTAAGAGACCTGAACTTAAAATATTCAAGAATAAACATCCTTCCTTCTAAGGTGTTCATACTGAGTAGTTTTGGCTAGACAGGTTTTTAGAGTCACTACTACAAGACGATCCCTACATTTTTTCAAATTGAAAAAGGATTAAAAAAAAAAAAGCAAGCTATATTAAGGACTAAAATGTTCCATATATTTTTGAATGTTTTTTAATGACATAAACTTGCTTCTTTAAGCAATAAAATACATTCTAAACATGTTTTTCAAAGAAAACTTTTACATGTCCTTGTTTTCTTAAACACAGTATGTTGATATAGTTTAATTTTTTTTCCATGATACAGGGTCATCCTTGTGAATATTCATTGTTCCTGTTTTTCAGTAATATGCTTTTCTTGTGGTGAGAATTGGCCTTGTCCCTTGGCTCAGCCTAACGGCCGCAGACACAGCTACAGCCTACTATCCACTGCCATAGCCGACTAGCGTCACCGTCCCAGTTTTTCAGAACCATCTCCTCTAAATCTTCCATGCCAAATATATTTTCTAATCTGCTTTGGATTGGAAAATCAAATAAATAAGAGCCATAGAGACAATACTGCTTGAACACAGGGTTTGGTAGGAGACTTGGGGAAAACTCATTTGGATACTTGAAGGTCTTCATTTACTTCTTTGTTCAGGGTTGTAATTCAGAAATATGAACTACCGGAAATTGGACTTGAAGTTATTATTGCATAACACAGAGTGAGACATTTATGCAGTTTTATTGAAAGCGTTCTTATTTTAAATGGGGTTGTCCAGAAACCCCTTCTTGATTACTTTACTTGATAGGTCTCTGGATCCATTATATTTCACTCCCTTGATTTCCTCAGGCAATGTAACCAACATGATGACAATTGAGAAGTAAAGAAATAGCACATTTTTAGGATAAGGTGAGAGAGTCTTGGTAACTGACTTCATCACAGTGATGAAAGCAAAAATATTCAGTCACGTTAGAAAATTTCCCTGGTCTGCTAATGGGAACTCCGGCCTGACTAGACACTGGGAAAACATTGAAAACTGTGAAGCTATGTCTATTAATTTTCAGTGTTCAGAGAAGTAACATCTGATCATCTTTTTTTCCTTTCTCCGAAAGGAGAAGTCAGAATAATTCACAATCTGTGATAGGATAGGGATAGTATTAAAAGTTACCTTTTTATTATCTCTGAAAATAGGATTTTTAAGCAAACTAATAGTATTAAGACTGTTGGGAGGAAGGTTGGGGGAAATCAAATGTAACCTATATGAGGGGGGAAAACATCTTTAACTACTTTAACATACACACATCTGATAAGTTACCGACAATTCTTATTTATTTTGAAGTTACTGCTGAAGCAACTCTACTTGTTAAAACTTAGAAATCTCGGTTCAAACTACATAGAAATATTCCATGATCATGTTTTCAGCTTATTCTACTTGTCTGTCTCCCAGTTTATTTGAACTGATGAAGTTTTAAAAAAAATCTTTAGCTTTCTAGAGTTATATTTTTACCTGTGTAATCTATTTGTTAATTTTTGTAACGTGCTTATATGATAAGAAATACTACGTCGGTGCCGAGTTTAGTTGTTATGGATTATTTCTGGATACAGAGAGTTTGCAAGAAACTTCAGTTTTACAGCAGCCAAGGTTACTGCAGACTAAAGCAGAACTTCAGGCATAAACTTGTCTTCTACCAGTTTCCCACCACTTTGCTATCAGCAGCATCTGAGGACATGGTTAATGAGTTCTGAAAATCATTCACAACATTGCTAATCTTTTAGGAATCTTATAGCCTTGCTGGACCTTTCCACAATCACAAGAGAAAAACCTTTGATGAAATTAGAACCAGTCCTCATACCCTCCCTTCCTTTCTTCTAGTGATTCACTTTTTTTTTTTTTTTTTATTGGAACAATCTAAAGACTCAATGTTTTTAAATTCCATAGAAGAGTAACGATTGAATAATTTTCTCACATCTCTGTTTGCACTTTCGCAGTCTGGTTGCATTGATTTGTGTCTCACAAGTAGACATTTCCTTTGTTGGTCACAAATCAATGCCATAGAACAAACCTGCCGGCACATTCCACCCCCACTCCCATTTTTTTTGCAGTTTAAAAACAAAGCACATTTATATACTTTTTGTTTTAAAAATTAATTTCATTGGATAGTAATACACTAAAAGAAGAAAAAGCCTCAGAGTTAAAAATCCGTGGGAGAAGGTGCTCCTCTCAAGCCGGTCTCTGATTCTTTCACACTGCCAGGAGCAGAGAACTGCCTAGTGGGAGAGCGGCGCTCATCTGCCGTTGGCTCCTGGTGTGCTCTGTTAACCCAATTAAGGTCCTCGCCTTCATACATCACAAGGCTGCCCAAAGCAACACACTGTGATGTCACAGTCAGATATGATTTCATGGCAGGAAAAAACCAAAAAGGCAGAAAAGGTTGAACGTACTTGGCTTTTATTCAAATCTTCTAAGAGTGGGCAAAGGGAAGATTTTTTTTTTTTTCCTGAGAGAAAAAGAGCACAAGCTTTCTCAAGTGAATGTGAAAACTCAGTTCTGAAGCTACCCTTGTGCTGTTACCCCAAGTGGATAAGCATGAATAAAGAAGCACAAAGAAACACTGTCATCAATCAGAATGCTCTTGCCTACACTTAGCTACAGGTGGAAAGCAAGCAGGCATGATTTGATTTACCTAGATTAAAAGAGCAATTTTCTATCTTCTTTTTTTCCTTTTAAAAATAGCCAATCGATTTTGGCCTAGCTATTGCTGACTGTACCAGGTCCATTTTAATACACCACTGATTAAACGGTATGTTCATGGCTGAAGGCACTACAGCAGGAACAAACAGAAGCAGCTGAAGGAAGGGGGTGGGGGACCAGAGGAGAGAGCTCCAAAAAGCACTCTATGAAGGCCACAACTACTCGGCACAACTACTACTCCCCTGTGGACTGTCGACATAGCACATTTTAGGCTTGAACCAGCTGAAATATAATTCAGGGAGTTTGAAGCCTGGAATTCATTTAGCTTTTTAATCCTGACCTTAAGAATTAAAAAAAAAAATCAAAGCTACATTTTTTTAAAATGAGGGAACTATTGTGTCCTAAATTGCAATGACATCTGAAATGAAGATGTGTCTCAGAAAGATGCTGCTTATGAAAAACTTAAAATTTCATAAGTTATAGAGAGTTATCTATTGAAATTGGATGTAGTTGTTTAGAGACTTGGTTTAATGAAATTGCATGTAAAAGAAAATATAGGACTTTTATATAGGGTGACTATACATGGGGATTCACTGGGCAGCTCTCAGAAGAGGGAGAATATCTCTACTAGTTCTGGAAGATAACCATCTTGATTATTATGATAAAGTACAACCTTTATCAAAGTCTGCGTGGCAGGAGAAATAAATTAGGGAGGGACTTTCAGAGAGCTCCAACATCCCACAGATGTTTCCCCTGAAAAAGACAAGGTCCACCTAACAGGTGAGACTTCAGCTGAACAATGATGCCAGGACATATGGGAGCTGGGTCTGAGAATCAGTGAACTCCATGTTTAAAAAGTGAACCCACTTTTTTTTTTCTGTTTGCTTACTGATTCCTTGTTCCCTTCTCTCCCATTTCCTCTCTCCAATTATCATTTACTTAATTTGAAATCCTGGCCTTAATGGGGACAGAACTGCATCCAGAGGTACTATTAAGATAAGAAAATTCAGGAAGAAAGATTTAATGAGGGGCTTAGTAGTTTTTGGAGGAGGAATCGGAAATTAGAGAGAAATGAGGGAAAAACTAAGAAATTAAATATCAGCCTCAGCACGGTGACTGTAGAAGAATAGCTTCTGAGAGACACAGATGGTCTGCATTCTCCAGAACAAAAACAAACAGGAAGTAACAGGGCCAGAGCCCCCTCTCTCCTTCATTCCTCTCTCCAGTGCAAATTCGAAAAAAACTGAAATGTGTCCACATCAAAAAGTTTTCCTTAAAACTCCAGCAAGTGACCACAGTAAAAGAAACAAGAGAGCGCTGGTTCCAGCAGGTAAAATGCTGAAAGGACGTCACATTGTGAGGTGAGGGAGAAATCAGGGATTAAATACATACAGTTTGGGGGAAAATCACGCTGTATAGCTAACTAATGATGAATGGAGCAGACAGGTGGCAGATTTGAGGTCTGGAGGAGAAGAAGGGCTCCATTTTGAGCAGGCCGTTTTCTGGAGGAGGGGTGGGGGCTGCTGTGGAAAATGGCTACTCCCTGGGTGCAGAGGGAGACAACAGACTTAGTGGAGAAAAGAGAAGAAATAAACTAGGCAGTCATCCGGAGACACATCGAGTTAGTGAGGGTTTTAGTTTGGATGAGAACAAGCTCTTATACCACGGCCTTGACTCATATAAAATGTAGCCGGGATGGATGGCTACTTACAGGGTTAAAAGCAAACTAGCTCTTCTGTTCCCAAATCTGAATGCTGAAGTGCTGCCTAGAACAGCAAACATGTACATGCAAAACATAAAAAATACACAAATGGGGGTGCAGAGGAGGTACAGGATGCACCAGTCACCTCCTTCCCCACACCCTTCAACGGCACAGAGCTCTGGCAGGGTCATCACCAGTAAAACTGGAGTCTTACAAGCCATCCCGTAGAGAGAAACCATCCCAGGTCCCCCGTGGCTCCAGGCAGCCGTGAGGACAGTTTTCATGTTCCAAAACTAATTGGACAGTAAGGAGTGTCTGTAAGAATGAAAGCGGGTGGGAATGGAGGATGGAAATAAAAGGGAAAAAAAGTGTCCTTGTTGAAAGTTTTAAATTACAGGCTCAGTAAAAAACTGGCATTCCACCACATCCGGTCTAGTTACCAAATGGAAAAATAGGGTCATTAACATGTTTATTTGAATTACATTAGTCCTTCTCTTTCATATTTAATTTATTCTGTTAGAAAAAAACACAACGCTCTGCATGCTGGTGAAAGGCAGGGGTGTAATGGATCAGGGAGCTGAAATACAATGATCTTTACCCATTATCTACCCTGCTAAGGCTTTTCAGAACTTACTAGGATCATTCAGGGATTCTTCCCTCAGGAGGGAGGGAAGAGTACAGAAAGATGTAATGTACAGACGCTACTGAGTTTGTTAAAATAATATTGAGGCACGTTTGAATTAAGGAGTGTAAGGACAATTTTAATATGGAAAGAAAATTTATAAAAACAAGAAAAGTTTGGGATAAACTGACCTCTTCTCAGACTGACAGTCCAGACATAAGGTTGGTGCTAGGCTTACTGAACACTACCCACGATATGGAAGCTGTAGAACATTGTGTTATTAGTATTCGCAGTATTAAAAGACAAAGTCTGCAGGATGATCTCATGAGGCTTGCTGTCATCCACAGGAGGTCAGAGCAACATCAGTACAAATAACTATAATGCACTACATTCAGGGAAAAATGAAAGAAGGTATATTTTTAGGAAGATGTCCAAAATGACCTGGCTATCTTTATGGTGGTGGTGACATGAAAAGGACACAGACTTCGTATCACAAGACCAGTCCCTGCTCCACAACTTACTAACACCATTTGCACAAGTAATTCAATCCCTTTTCCTCATCCACAAAATGGGAACATGAACAGTTACCATAGAGATGTGAGGATCAGTTGAGATGATCTATGAGAAAGTGTTCCATAAAGCACTGTACAAATGTAAGACATTTATTTTCTGAAGACAGTGGTGCCAAGTGCAGGCCAAGCAGTGTGCCAAATATCCTCAGAAACAGGACTGGAAACGAAGCCGGGAATGCTCTGACAAAGCTGAAGAGGACAGGGATCTCCCGTCTCAGTGTGACTGGTTGTATAGCTCACTCATACCTGAAGGGATTTCTCACCGGGATGCTGACCTTGGGTTCACAGACTGCCTCCACAGTGAGTTGCCACCCACTCATAATGAGTCATTTAAAGTTCAAATCTCACTTCATGCTAGCGATGCTAACATAGAGGCAAGCAGTTTTAGGCTTTTTTTGGTCACAGATTTCTGCTGCCATTGTCAAAATAGTAGCCCCAACCTCTGACTGCCACCTAGGGCAGCCAGCCCAACTAGACTTAGTTCTGGTCACTTTAGTGGAACAAATTGTCTTGGAAAACATTGCCTTGTACTTCTTTACGATCTCCAAAATGAGCAAAAAAATTCAGTCTCCAGTTTTTCCTTCAGACAGGTTTCTCACTTTGCTACAAAACAGAATCACATCTTTTTTGTTATGATTCTTCCTCTTTGGTCCAGTTTGTTGAACATTTGCCAGCTGTCTCTAACCTGAACTTTGGCTTAAATACAATTGCAGTCACATTAAGATCATTCTGTTTTGAGCCCAGAGCATACTTAGAGTGTAACTTTGACAGAAGGAGGGGAGAGTTAAATTACGATCAGCTCTAGTAAAAGATAATGGCAACCCATGTGTAGAACACTTTCTGGATGAAGTACTTCAAAAAATAAATAAATAAAAAGGACAGGAGAAAGTTCAGTATTTTTTTTGTCATATAATCCAATTTTAATCACACACAAACACATACATACATAAACATATTTATATCAAGAGAGATGTCTGAACGAAAATACAATAAGAAAGTTCAGTATTGATTAAAATAATCATGATATAAGATGAAGATTTCTATTTATAATGGTAAAATTCAGGCAAGAAGACTGTAAATATCTATAAAGAAACAAAAGGCCTGGGTAAGTGACCATGGATTTCTTTATCAAATTCTAGTATATATGAACGGACGCCATCTTATTACTTTTCAAAAGAAACAATTTATGACAAAGTAAAGAACTACTTTACACAGTAGGCAATAAACTTATAAAATTCATTAAAGGTTGATGACATAAATAGTATCATAAAGGTTTAGCTAAATTCATGGATAATAAGTCCATAGTGGGTTATTCAGAGAAACTAGGCTATCTGGAGGAAAATAACTCTAATTCTTGAAGTTAGCAACAAGGACAATTGTGTCTTATGTAACAGTTTCCTGGCCTTGTGATCAGAAAATGAATGCTGAGCTGAAAGGACCATGAGCCCGAATCAGAAGGACCTTTCTTATAATCATATGCTTGTAAGAAACTAGGGACTAACTATAGCACTGATAGTAAGCCTGCTGGGGCCAGAAGGTGCACAAATGCTTGAACCCCCAGTCACACATGTCACATCCTAAGTTGTATTATGCCACTCCTTCTCTGCAGCAACTGCTATCATCTCCATGTTATAGATGAGAGAAGCAAGGATCAGAGAAGTTCAGAGAGGAAAAGTAAATTAACAAAGGTCACACAGCTGGTAAATGGCAGATTTGGGATTTGAATTTAGGATTATCTACTTCCAAAGCTCTACTACCACACTGCTGCTGTTTTCTGCCCAGTAGCCTGATGTATTAACAGCTTAAGATGACCAATTTAACCTGTTAAAGAGATGTGAGGTCTTGCTCTTCATTTCCCTTGGTATCTAAACTATGTGTACTGTAGCTTCTTGTCATCAAACCATGTGCACATCTATGACTTTACATTAAAGATGTCTCCAGCTCTCATTAAGAAGGAACAAAAAAAGTAAACAGATCACGAGAAGGTAAAAGGCATATGGCTTTTACATATGCTGCTATGGATTATTTATAGAGTACCTCAGACTACAATGTATATTAACAGAAACTCTTTATTCTCTATCAACTAATCTAAAGACTCATTCTTAGGTTTCCTAATCTAAACTCAGGTACTACAATAGAAGTAACACCTAATAAGTGAATGAATATGATGGACTCCAACAATCTCCTTGCTTTAGTAATTCTAATGTTGAGTGGGATATCAAAATGGAAGATGAGAAACATAAGAAATAGCTGAGTTGGGAGAGAAGCAAAATGAGGAGAGGAAACATTAGAGAAGAATCCAGAGTTTACTTTCCCAGACTCTGATTTAATCTGCATGAGCTTTGTTTCTTCACATTTTGAAGAAAATTTAAGTTTAGTAAAAGGAGATTATGTAATGCAAGAGTGTTGCTAGCCTGAAGGCTGTGATAACATATCTTAGGAGCTCTGTGTCCCTCATAACAAAAGTAACAAAACTTTCAAAATTATTTGTAGCCTTGAAAGATAATACAAAATACCTGTATCTTAATTTCTGTCCTTATAAAATGGGAACAGTTATTTTTATATGAAACAATGAATACATAAAATACTATATAGTTTATATAAAATTATATAAAATATATACAAAATGTAATTATGAAATGTAAAAATTAGAACATGCTATGCAATTGTATATAAAATATATAAAATACTATATATCTTATATGAAATATATAAAATTATTACATATGTTTACATGTGAATAGGAGCTATTTATGAATTTTATTAAAAGTCTAGGTAAAAGTAAATTCATCTATAATCCTTTCTCTGGAATTCTCTTCCCTTTCCTTTTGTACATTTTTGCTCCCCTTTCTTTTCTTCCCCCCGCTCCCCCCGCCGTAGGATTTCAGCCACAGATGTAATAGGTTTCTGTAACACTGGCAACTCATAGCTTTCATAAATGTTCCCTTGGCTAGGGACCACCCAAATAGTGACCAAATAGTAACTCTCACTGGCTAATGAAAAATCAGTGTGGTTTGATATCATTAAGACAAGGTCAAAATAATTCTCTAAGCAGAACTGTCACACCAATGTGACAATCTCACTGCAAACAAGGCATGGGGATGTGGCATTGCTGCACCTGGCAAAGCTATGTCATTGTTTAACTGAACTAAAGGAACTATCAGTGCCAAAGAAGAAAGAGAATAAGAGAAAAATGTCAGAAATGACTGTCTAGGTTCAGAGAAAAACTGCTTGATGAAGGGGCTTATAGGGATGGAGCACATCTTCGAGTGAAGGTCAGCAGCTTTGAGCTCTGGTTCTGGCTCTTGATACAAATTTGGTATGTTGAGTAGTGCAAAATCACTACACTGTCTAGGCCTAAATGCCTTTGCCTGTAAAGTGAAGGACTCCTTTCAAATCTAAAGTTCTTATTTTGTAAGTCTTGTTTGGCCGGTTTACTCAGTTAAAACATAGGTTTAATAGGGTTAACATTATAGATTCAATTCTCATATAAAGCAGATGACCTGATATAATGCTTTGCACATAGTACTTGCCCAATAAATATTTGTTCAATGACTAAATGTCTTGGAATAGAGTAAAACTCTATTTCATAGTGAAAGATTCTAACTTAGGTTTAAGTGGAGAAGGGCCAAGAGAGAGCACAGGGATTGATACCAATTGTATTGGTATCAATACAATTGATACTCAGGATTGATGCATCTGTATTCCTGGGCGAAATAATTTAAAACATGGGTCTCACTGACATTGAGACAGTGGTATCACTGTATAGTAGTTGTACTACAAGAACAATATTACTATTTAGACTCCTTGAATCACTTGAGAGTGTCCTTGCCAGTAGCCTTTTCCCAAAAGAGATAGCCAATCCTGAGAGAATTCCCTGATTTTAAGATTGCATAAATAGCTCATCAAATCCTCACAACATTCAGTTAGGATATGAAAATTACAGATATTTTTCCCTCTCCATTTTCACTTGGAAAATCACAAGTCTGCTTCCATTGCAGTCACCCCATCTCCTACAGGGATGGTAAATGACTTAGCCAGTATTACAGATTGAATCACTACCTCTTTGTAAATACTATAGTTGGACATAGATTTTGCCCATATGTGGGATACCCAGTTACTTATTTATTTATTTGAGACAGAGTCTCGCTCTGTCGCCCACAATGGAGTGCAGTGGCGTGATCTTGGCTTACTGCAACCTCCGCCTCCTGACTTCAAGTGATTCTCCCGCCTCAGCCTCCTGAGTAGCTGGGATTATAGGCGCCCACCACCACGCCTGGCTATGTTTTGTATTTTTAGTAGAGACGGGTTTTCTCCATATTGGTCAGGCTGGTCTTGAACTCCTAACCTCGTGATCTGCCTGTCTCGGCCTCCCAAAGTGCTGAGATTACAGGCATGAGCCATCTCACCCGGCCTTACCCAGTGATTTAGGTGGCAATCATATGCCAGAATTTTGCTTTAGGTAATGGGAATCATGTCATAAAAGAACATGTAAAAATAGAAATTGAGATACTTAGTAATATCAACCACCTGATCAGTGTGGTCAAACATGATAATTTGAATTCCCTAGCACACTTAAACAAAACAGAACAAAACAAAAAAACCCTGACTATATAGAGGGATTAGAACCTGGAAGATAAAGAATCAAACATTAGAACAAGTAACCTTGGATCATAAATATTCTGACATTTTCAATTTGCTTGCAACAAACAGGGTTTTGTTCTGGTTTGGTTTTGCCTCCGTGAGTGTATTGTGCTCCCCACCTTCTCCCCTTCTAGAAGCTGATAAAGTATAGGTGCGGACGGCGAAACTCAATCACAGAGCACTTACAGAGCTTTTCTTAGGGCCTACAGAACAGATCTACCGAGTCTCACATCTCCTGGTCAGCAGCGACAGGTAAATACTAGCTTTATTCTAGTAGCTCAGTTGCAGCTCTATGGGCAGCTGTCCTTACTGCACATAATCAGTCCCTCTTTTCAGGGGGTTATAGCTCAATCATCAAAATACCAAAATATGCTCTGGTTTGAAACTTGGTATATAGAGTCCCAAGCCCAGGAATGACTGTGGTTTACTTCCAAATTTAAGAAAATATTGAGTTTTGTAGGTTATTTATTTACTATTTTCAAATATGTTTGAAGAATCTTTCAAACTCCATAGGAAAATGTACTAAAAAGGACACACCGTTTTAATACCTTTGGTAATTCATTCTGAATTTCAGCACACCACTGAAAGGACCAAATAGTTGTGGAAAAAGAGTTTGTTTTATTTTCTTACCAAATACAGATGTTTTGACCACTTGGATCCTCATCAGTGTTCAAAATATTAGTGTGTTGTAACATAATAAAATAAAGGCATTAGCTTCTTTGTTTTGTTCCTTTCAGTGATGTGCAGAATGGATTAATGAGTTCTTGTTTCTGGCCCTTGTATAACTCAAAAACTCGTTTCAACTTAAATAAATTAAGTAAGTAATTAGTTCATAATATGGCCTAATCACCTCTGGTATTTTGAAACAAACAAAAACACAAAAATGGCTGTTGCACATTTGCTCTTAATTACCTCCACATAAAATACTCGTGTGGACTTTACTACAGGTGACATAAATTTCAAATCTAAGCTTTGTTTGTGATAGAAAGCCTGGGATATGGTATTGTGTAGACTCCCATGAAGATTCTGTAACTCTCCCTACTATTTTCCTCAAGAAAATGAAACCACAGCCTACGAAACCACATTCTTGCTTTCTTAATTGGCAAAAGAAAGTACTTTATTTCAAAAACTCCGAAGAATAGGTTACTTCCTACAGAGGTTCAAAGGATGTTAATATAAAAGGCAGTATCATTTCTGGAATTTCTGCAGTGTTCAAATTTTGCTCTTGGATTCTGAACGGCTCTTGTTTGCATACACGTCTATCTGGGAATTGCTCTTAGTGATCGGGACAGCCTTATGGAAATCCTTCCAGATGAATATACTCAATAGAGCAAAAAATCTTGCTCTGTCTTTAATGTAAAGGAAAAAAGGACTTTTAAACAACTGTGTAATTGTGAATTCTAGCCTTAAAGGAACTTTCTTGGCTTGGATTTCTTCTACCCTCCCCCTCAGATACTTAATAATCAAAGTATATGCCAAGAAACTAATGATGCAAACCACAGTATTGCACATGAACTTGGATCGCTTTCCCATGGTGTAGTGACCAAGATTGGACCCAAAAAGTCGATGACAGAAAATAGACATGCAACATAATCAAGGTACGCCTACCTTGGGGAAACTCACAAACCCATTTTCTATCCTTCATAAGTGTGTATAATGATTCTCAGTATAGTTTCTGAAACTTGTAGGCTAATCTGACCATCAGCTGTGAAAGGAAGAAGGATCAACCTTGATTAGTAAACTTCCAGGTCATTTGCTTGGCACGAACCCACTGATGTGTCAGCTGCATACCTCAGAATTCTTTAGGTGTTATCTGATGTTACCAGGCATTCCTGATACCCTTTGAATTTCAATATAGAAATCGAAGTACAACTAAACATATCCCCAAGTGTGACAGCTTTATGGTTATTACTCATTTTAAAACTGAGACCAACTTTTCTTCTGACATTTGACCTAGGAGAGTTTCTCCTTTAGCTTTCTGAGTCATGCAAATTTATTCAAATACTGTATTGCAACCCTTGTCAGTTGTGGCCATACATTCACTTAGTGATACACAATAGACTCTCAATAAACATTTGCTTTCCAGAATGGAACTAGCCTTATTATAAGGAAAAATGGAATAGTTTGCAATAGAGCTCTAAATGAACTAGAAGAAAGACTAATAGATCTTGAGTATATTAAAAAAAAAATCCAGCAGTGAGAACAGTTGGGTTTTGATATAGCTTCCCAAGGGAAATAGAAGTTTTGTTACTCAGGGCATTTTAAAGTAGTATAGACAAAACACTAGTGGGGTATGTTGAAATAAAATATGCGTAGTCCGTCTGTGAATTAGTGTTTACTTTCAATATAATTATAAGTGAAGCAACACTGTAATGGGAATTTTTCATACACAGGAAAGCTATGGCTACTATGTTTCCACATCGACCATATGTTGCACATATTGGTTGGTGTGGATGTGTATCCCTACTGCCCTCTAGTGGATGAAATGTAAGACCTACCTGATTAACCAGATCTAACAAGCTACTATGGTTTGGGGGTATATCAATCTTTAATCATTTAGGGTAGAAAGAAAATAGCTGTGTTGATGCATTTTCCATCAAATTATAAAATTGAAGGGCATTAAAAACAACAGAATCAAACTCTGTAATTAAGACTGCCATTTAATGTTTGTTCGCACACGGTATTCATTTCTGTGTATCCCTGCCAAAGATCCATTGTGTAATGTTGTCCTCACATGACATTAAAAACACCAGTTCCCTGGAAAATATAAAAAAGAAACCGTGCTGCCTTGAAATGCATGGAGTTTACTTTCAGAAACAGAAAATTAATACAGACACAGTGCAATAATTTGGAACACAAATAATGGCTACAAGAAACTTGAAAACCAGGACTGCTCCTTAAATCTGAGCAAGCATATTAGCAGTCTTTGGGTGTGCTGGCTGGT